GGGGGGGGGAGTTAATAGGTCCGAAGCACCTTGGCCTTTTCTTAGGGATGCCGTTCTCCCTGTATGGCAACGGATTCAGTTGAGGTTTGATTGAAAGTGAGTTGCAATACACGGAGCGTTTACTAGACCTGTATTTTGTTGAGGTTTGATTGAAAGTGAGTCTCAATACGGGCGAGCTGGGATTTCCAGGTAAGGTGCAACTACCTTGCTCTCTCCTGTATTTTCACAGGCTCCGTCGCTGTCCCATTCACAACAAAAGAATGGCAAAGAATGACAAGGTTTTTCTGTTTTCTCTGTATTTTTTTTATTTTTTTTTCTCCCCAGGACTTGAACCACCAGTCCACATGAGCCTAAGTTGAAGAGGCTACCTGCCAAGGATCGCTAGTGTGAAACTGTCCCTTTTTAAAGTGACCTGCCGCATTCGCTGCCAGCCCGGGGGAAATTGAAAAGCTCTTATTCCATAACCGTACTAACCGGGTAAGAGCACTACTCTGCTTTGGGTGAACTGGCAGTTTAAACTTTAAACCACCACTGCTTTGGAGCCTCGTTATCCTGAGGCGGATTTGTTGTGAAGCTGAGGTCAAAACGACCGTTGTCGGAGGGTGCGGTGTGCAAGGCACACCCCGCTCTCGGCCCTCAGCAGTGTGCCAGGCACACTTCATGCATGGCTTGTTCCTGGACTGGCATGGCTGGTGCTCCTATTGGCAAAAGGAGGGGCTGCGCAACTGGGCTTTCCTTTGGTCCACGTAGGCCCAACGCCCTGCTGTACAACAGAGCACAACCTAGACTAGCCGACCTCTCGTAACTAGTTTCATTTGATGAGAGCGACCGCTGAGTGTCGGGGATTGAACTCCCAAAAAGGGGGCGACCGTGTCCGCTGTGTTAGGAGGCTTATCACTCCTCGTGGAAGTCATAAGCTCCCTCCTTGCCATCTGACACGGGTACCCATTGGGGTTAGTCTGATGGGCTCCTTTGAAGGTAGGAAGGCTTTGGTCGGTATCCCGTTATGGAACCGCACCGCGTGCCGTGGAGTGAAAAGACT